GCTTGCTGGGGCCCCTCTCAGGGGCCTCCTCTTCCCCACCCCACTCAGTGGGGGCGGGGTCTGTCTTGGTGACTGGGGAGGGTCCCCAGAGCCCAGCACGGGGCCCAGCCCACAGTGGCCATTTGTTGAATGAATAAACCCTAAATGGCAAAGGGGGAGGGGCTGATGCCCTATTTTTACAGATGGGTAAACTGAGGCACCAGCTGGGCTCCAGGGGCTGTGCTTTGAGGACTGGGTGGGGGCTGGTGGAGGAAAGGCCCTGTGGGTGCTGGGTGGGGGAGTCCAGGTCATTTCACCTGTCCCCCGCCTCTGGAAAGGACGTCCCCCTCTTCCTGGCTACCCAGGCCTCAGTTTCCCAATCTGTCCCCCAACTCTGGCGGCCTTGTGGCCAGAATCGCCAATGCATCAGTTTCCCCGGTCTGTCCGTGGGGCTGCGTGATCCCCCGAACCTGCAGGCCGGTGTCTGCCCGCCCCCCCCCCCCCCCCTCAGTTTCCGGATCTGTGCCAGGGCTGGGTGACCCTCTCAAGACGCCCAGTGTCTCCCCTGCCACCGACCCCGCCTCAGTTTCCTGGCCTGTCCTTGGGGCTGCGTGCCCCCCCCCCACCAATGGCAGCCCGGGGTCTGCCTGGCCCTCACCCTCTGCCGCAGTTTCCCCATCTGTCCCCAGGGCTGCTTCCCTCCCCCCGCCCCCCCTCAAGTTTCCCGGTCTGTCCACGGGTCTGGGTGCCCCCGCCGCCCCCCTGCAGCCCGAGGTCTGCCGGCCCCCGCCCCCGCCTCAGTTTCCCAGTCTGTCCACCGGGGCTGCGTGCCCTCCCCCCGCGCAGCTCGGGGTCTGCCCGGCCCCCGCCTCAGTTTCCCGGCCTGTCCCGGGCTCCGCGGCCCCGTGGCCGCCGCCCAGCACCGCCCGCCCGCCCGCGGCCCCGCCCCGGCGCCCGCCGTCACTTCCTGCCCGGCCGCGGAGGCCCTGCCGGGCGGCGGCGGCGGCGGCGAGCGGGCCATGGTGGCGCTGGAGAACCCGGAGGGCGGCCCGGAGGCGGCGGCGGCGGCGGGGGGCGCCCCGGGCGGGCGGCGGACGCTGTGAGCGGCGGGCGGGCAGGGGCGGGGGGCGCTCCTGCGGACTCGGGGTCCCCCGGTCCCCTCGCTGCGGCCCCGGGCCCGCCCCCTTTGCTCGAGGACACCCCGGGACGGCGGGGGGGTGGGGGCGGGGCGGGGGTCTCCTTGTCGCCCGCTGGTCCCTGGGGGTCCACTCCCCGCGTGCCCGCCCGTCTGCGGCGGGCGGGGGGCTCCCCGTTCCTGCGTTCCTGAGGTCCCCGTGCGGGTGCGGACCCCGGGGGGGACCCCGACGCCGTGCGGTGTCCCCGTGTTTACCCGAGGCGGCCGCTCCTGTCCCCGCGCTGGGCGTGACCCGCCGGGGCCTGTTTACTGCGGGGTCACGGCCCCGCCTCCCGGGACACGGGGCTCCCCGTCTATGGGGGCGCCCACCGGGGGGCAGGGGGCTTAGGACCAGGCCCGGGAGCCTGCTGACCCCAGGCAGGTGGAGCCGCCCCCTGCGGGTTTGCACCCCGGGGTCCCCGAGTTTTGACCCCCGCCGGCCTTTATGCAGGACCCCGTGTGCCCACCCTGCGGTCCTCGTTCCTGGGGGGTGATGAGTCCTCTGCTCTGGGTCCATGTCTGCCCCCTCCGTGTGCCGGGCGGGCGGGCGTGCGGCCGGGGCAGCTTATTCTGCGCTTCTGTGCCTCAGTTTCCCCATCTGTTAAGTGAGATGACAACAGCGGCCTCTTCTCAGGGCGCCTGGGGGCCCGAGACCCTGCCCTGGGACGAGCCCGGCAGAGGCGAGCGTGGGTTCTCCACTTGCTACTTAAACCTCTGAGGATTTTACTTGTTTCCTTATTATTTTAAGCGAGTTTATCATTTCCTTATTTTTATCCTTCTTTTGCTCTTATCCTATTTCTCGGGACTTTCTAGCGTCTGTGTTTATTATGACCTTGCGGTTGTTACCTCCGCTGCGGGGGGAGCGGGGGGTGTACCCAGGGGCCATATGGGTCTCTACAGATGTGGGGGGATCCGCCCCGAGGGGAGACGATGCCCCTTTGCCGAGGCTCTGACCCCGGGCCAGGTGGGTCCCTCTGACCCGCCCCCTGCGCCCTCACCTCCTCATCCTGGGGGTGTGGCCCCTGCTGGGGGGACCCCGGGCACCCCACCCAGCCTGAGTCACCTCCCGCTGCAGAGCCCTTGGTGGTTTCCGGCTCTGGAAGTAGGTTCCTGTCAGCGGTCCCTGGGGGAGGGGGCCGGCCGCCCAGCACCGAGGTGGCCGGATTCCCCATTTCAGGGGCGCAACCGGGGCCTGGCTTAGCAGGGGGGCCCGACCCCCCTCACTGGATGCTGGCTCCCTCCCCGGTGAGAGCATTTCCCGAGGCCCGAGGGGTCCAGGACGCCCCCCCCACCCCCGCCAGCTGCCCCGGCTGGGTCCTCAGTTTCCCCGTCTGTGAAGTGGTCTCTGGGTGGCATGGGAAGCAAATGAACTGGCCCTTGGGGGCCGTGTGTAAACAGAAGTTCAGGGATTCATTCAACAAACAGCTGTTGAGTACCCGCTGTGGGCCAGGCCCTGCGGACACAGCAGGGACCAAGACAACCCCGTCCTGTTCCCTAGCGAGGGAGCCAAGGAGTAAACAGGTATGTGGGCCAGCTGGTGTCAGACACCCACTGGCGAGGCAGCAAGAGGGCCAATCGGGCGATTCAGGGGCGGGGCGGCTTTTGGGGAAGCTGACTTGTGAGCAGAGACCAGAATGAACTTCAGGCAGCGGGCTCAGCCGTGCAAAGGCCCTGAGGCAGAGCATCTGAGGCACCAGGAAGGGGCCCCTGAGGCAGGAGGGGGAGCGAGGCAACAGGCGGGGGGCGGACCTCCACGCTTTGACGTGTGGATGTTTTATATAAAGTTTGTGCTGGTGCCCAGCCCTCGCCCTGGGCTGCCTACAACCCTGACTGGCTGGGGACCCGTGCTGCCGCTTCTGCCCGGCCCCCGCTGCCCCGTCCCCGGGTCTCCAGTGGGCCCGGCCCTGCCGTCTGCCCCGAGGCCGCGTGTTTCCCTGTCCCGCTGGAGTCGGGCTGAAGCCGGCAAGCTCGGATTGGTGGTGGGATTCATTTCCAGGGCTCAGCTTGGCAACTGAGGCCACAAGAGGGCAACCGGGCCCGGACCCATGTGGTCTGGGGACGGCTGGGCTGGGCCGGGCTGCCAATGCCAGGCTGAGGAGGAGCCCTCGAGGGTGCTAGGGAGCTATGCTTGGTGGTAGAGCAGGGGAGAGGCCCGTGGGTCTGGGGGTCTGGATGGAGAAGCCAAGTGGGCTGTGGCCTCGGGCCGCCAGTGTCCTCTGTGGGCCCAGCAGGAAGCAGGACGGCTGACTGGTCACCCGGGGGTGTGGGGTCGGGGTGTGGTCCTTTTCAGACCCGGGTTCAAATCCCGTTGGTGTCCAGTGACATTTCTCTGGGGCCCCGAGGCTCCAGCTCTCCTTGGGTCCCACCCTGAGCTGAGGTCCCCGATGGCTCTCCCCGGATGTGGCCTCTGTTATCGGCCCCCACCAGGCTGCCATCCTGGACTCCGTCCAGCTGCCGGGGTGGAGACACCGGGTCCAGCCTCAGCATCGTTGGCTCTGTGCTGACTTGGGTCGCCACGTCCTACCCTTCTTGCCGCTGTGGGGTCCCGGGATGGTGACCTCGTGCCTCGGTTCGCAGATCTGTCTAAAGGGCATCAGAGTAATAGTATTGGCCTCTCGGAGGCAATGGTGAAGGAAGGGGAGGGCTCAACCCAGGGACGTTGGTATGATTGATGGTGTGGCTGAGGGAGTGATCTCCCTGTCACAGGAGGAAACCAAGCAGGTTGCAGCTGAGTCAGTGGAGGAAGGTGTGTGTCCTAGTCCCTCTTGGCCCCGAGTGTCCCCTCCCAAACCCACAGGCACCTGCAGGGGCCATTCTGACCTCACTTTGCAGAGAGAGAGCTGAGGCTCCAGATCACATGGGGAAGCATCGTAGCCAGGATTCGAACTCAGATCTGAGCTCCAGGGCCCAGCCCGGGATGACGGCTACTTGCACCCGCGTGAGTTTACCCGGCAGATCCTGGCGCGTGGATGTCCGCCTGCCCCACGCTGGGTCTCTCAGCCTGTCCGCTTTTCCGTCCAGCGGCCTTTCCGCCAGGTGCAAAAACTCAAGGCTGGGGCTCTTTACATATGTGTAGACCCCGTGAGCCGGCTTCCCTGCTGACCCCTCTGAGGCCTCACGGCCCCGCCGTCCTCGAGCTCGCGGGGTTTTCTAGAGCCTGTCGGTGGCTGGGGGAGGGGTCGGGCTTCCGTGGTCAATTTGCGTTTTGGGAACTTTGAACATTGGGAAAGTCTGGGTGGAATTTTGGACTCGGGGTTCTGGTCATTGGAATTGTGGGATTTGTTTGGGAGACCCGACTTGGTGGTTATTTTTTAAGCGCCTACTGTGTGCCCGGCGTGCCCTGCCCACGGAGGTGGGTGGCCATCGGGGGAGTAGGAGGGACGTGATCCCAAAACCGAGCAGGCGGGCGGCAGGTGGAGGGGCCGGGGTCTCACGGATGAGGTTTGATGGGACCCCGAGAGCCGGGGGGGGGTGGCGAGGGGTGGCGTGTGGCCGGAGCCGGGGGACCCTGGGAGGGGCAGCTGGCAGATGGGACGAGCGAGTCCCGACACCCCAACCGTCGAGGGCCCGAGTGCCCGTCCGCCCGCAGCGTGAGGGCCCTGCGCCCGGCGGGGACGGTCCCCTCAGCCCGAGGTCTGGGGGTCGCCAGGAAAGCCGGACAGCTTGTCTTTGCTGGAAGTTTCCATGGAAGAGCCCTGGCCCCCGCCCCTCAGCCTGCTGTCCCCGGCCTTGGGTCCCCAGCGGGAGGCCTGGCTGCGCCGCTAATCCGACCTGCAATTAACGCCATTAGCTCCGAGGAGGGGAGATTAGCCGATATTAGCCGAGAGGGGGCCGCTGCAGCCCCCTCCCGGGTCCTGGCCCCTGGGCACAGTGCGGGGTGGGTGGGGGGCTGGGGGGGCAGGTGGGCTCAGGTGTCGCCTTGAGCTCATGGGGGGGCCGCGTCCTGGTTTCTCTGCTGCTGGGGGTGGGGGGGGGACGCTCCATGAGGTCACGTCTCCTGAGAAACTCCTGGAGGAGGGAGACGCTGGGCCTGGGGGGGGGGGCAGGGCAGCTTTTCCCAGCGACCCACCCAATGTGCGGCTTAGGGCCAGTGTCTTCCCTTCTCTGAGCCTCGGTTTACTAACCCGTCCTCACCTCGTACCTGCTTCCCGGGGGATGTGACGATGAAATTAAATGAAATTCGGAGGGTCCAGGGCTCCACACATGGGAGAGGGTGAGCTCCCCGTCGCTGGGGGAAACCAAGCAGGGGGATGGCTATGGGACCGTGGCAGTGTCAGGGTTCCGCCTAGGGGTGCTGGCCTGTCTTGGCCCCAAGGACTGACCCCCCCCCCCCGACCCCCCAGGCCCCTTCCGGGATGCCTGCCCACTCTAACCGGCTCCCAAGTGAAGAGGTTCTCAGCCTCCAAGCGGAAGCAGCACTTCATCAACCAGGCCGTGCGGAACTCAGACCTCGTGCCCAAGGCCAAGGGGCGGAAGAGCCTCCAGCGCCTGGAGAACAGTGAGTGGGGGTCGGGGGGGTGCCTCCAGGGGGACCCCCAGGCCTCAGATGAGAATGGTGTGTGTGTGTTGGCATTATCTGTTGCCCTTACCGTGAGCCTAGCTCTGAGCTGGACACTGGGAGCTCTGGGCATTGGAGTTGGGGCTTTACAGGATGTGCAGGAGTTCAACAAGCCAGGGAGCAGTAGGCGTTGTGGAGGCTGGACTGTTTCTGTCCCTTCTGGGAAGGACAGTTGGAGCATGGAAGTGGGGAGACCAGTGTGAGAGTAAAGGCCCTAAATATAGAGGCCGCGGCGGGGGGGGGGGGGGTGGAGATGGTCCTCAGGTCCCCGTGGAGCTTGGGGGGCCCGAATGCCACCCCTTAGCCCAGGGTCCATCTGTTTCCACCTAGCCCAGTACCTGCTGACCCTGCTGGAGACAAACGGGGGCACACCGGGTCCTGAGGACGGGGACCTGGCTCCCCCAGCGGCGCCCGGCATCTTCGCGGAGGCCTGCAACAACGAGACCTACGTGGAGGTGGGCCCGACCCTCCGCGCTCGCTCCCCCTGCTCCTGCCACACTGGCCTTCTCTCGGTTCTCGTCCCACCACCAGGCATTGCCCATGCTGGTCCCTCCACCAGTTGCACGCATGCCCCTCTGGTCCCTTGATGAATGCCCCCTCCATCTCCCTCGGGGTCCCCATCCCGCCCCAGAACCTTCCAGCACCTGTGATCCATCTGCTCATCACTTGGAATTAATTACTCGGTGGGGGGTGCATTTGGTCCATAGGGATGCCCAGCCCCAGACAGGCGGGTCCGCAGGTGCCCCCTGAACTTGCGGGCCCGGTGGGCAAGCGTGTCCACAAGGAGTAGTCCGTGCACTTGGTGGGCCTCTGCGTGCACAGGCCACATGCGGAAACAGAGGCCCTGGGGCGCGCAGTCATTTGCCCGGGCCCGCCTGCCTCTCTTCCAGGTCTGGAACGACTTCATGAACCGCTCCGGGGAGGAGCAGGAGCGGGTGCTCCGCTACCTGGAGGACGAGGGCAAGAGCAAGGCGCGGAGGAGGGGGCCTGGCCGGGGCGAGGACCGCCGGAGAGGTGCGGGCCTGGGGCGGGGGCGAGGAGAAGGGGTGGGGCGAGGAGAAGGGGTGCGGCGGGGCCTGGCCCAGGGTGCAGGGAGGAGCCTGGGTGTGGGCGGGGCCCAGAGGATGGGGCGGAGCCTGGGTGTGGGCGGGGCACAGAGGATGGGGCGGAGCCTGGGTGTGGGCGGGGCCCAGAGGATGGGGGAGGAGCCTGGGTGTGGGCGGGGCCCAGAGGATGGGGCGGAGCCTGGGTGTGGGCGGGGCCCAGAGGATGGGGGAGGAGCCTGGGTGTGGGCGGGGCCCAGAGGATGGGGAGGAGCCTGGGTGTGGGCGGGGCCCAGGGGCAGGTGAGAGGACCCTGGCGTGTGGACGGGCCCAGGGGCAGGTGGGGAGGTACCTGGTGTGTGGGCGGGCCCGGCGGCTGACCTCAGTGGCTGCCCCGCGACTTGGGCTCTTGCAGAGGACCCGGCCTACACGCCCCGCGAGTGCTTCCAGCGCATCAGCCGGCGTCTGCGAGCCGTACTCAAGCGGAGCCGCATCCCCATGGTGGGTAGCAGGCTGGGCCTCCTCTGTCCCCACACGCCTGGTCTGTTTTGATGGCCTTTTTTCTCAACTTCTCAATGGAGGTTGAGGGAGGGGGACACTGGTTCCCCGGTGTGCAGTGGAGTCCTGGAGACAGGGCGAGATAGAGACCAGTGTAATCAGACTGCAAGACCCAGGGCCCGGCAAAGGGTCTCCTTAAGGGTGGGAGGGGCAGGGGCAATGAACCTGGGCACTGCAGGATGTGTAGGAGTTCACCAGGCAGTAGGTGCAGGCAGTCAAAGATATGGAGATATCGAAGTGCCTGCCGTCCTTGGAAACAGTTAGCCTCACGGAGCCCGTCAGAGGCTGCCTTTGAACGCAGGGCCTTGAACTCTGGAGGCTCCCCTGGGCGTGGGGGGTCTGGATCCCACAGTCGGCCTGACCCCTGGGCTGGCCTCTCCCACAGGAAACGCTGGAGACCTGGGAGGAGCGGCTACTCAGATTCTTCTCGGTGTCCCCCCAGGCTGTGTACACGGCCATGCTGGACAACAGGTGACCGGGTGGGGCGGACGTGGCAAGCTGCCCGGGGTGGCCGGCTCTGGCCCACGGCCACTCACCCCCCCTCCCTCCGCAGCTTCGAGAGGCTCCTGCTTCACGCCGTCTGCCAGTACATGGACCTCATCTCGGCCAGTGAGTGCCTGGCGGCCCCCGGGACCCCAGTCGGCCCATTCAGCCCCAGGAAACCGAGGCCGGGGTTACACCCGTCTGGTTACTCAGCGGGAGCTGCTGGGGAGGAGAGAGCGGGAGCAGAGTTGGCAGCGGGCTCTGTGTTAATTCCCCAGAAGCCCCCTGTGCGTCTGGCCCACAGGGGTGACGCTGTGGACACAGACACCCCTCAATCTGCCTCTTCAGGACTTGCGGGGAGAGGGGCCTGGGGGATGAGGCTGGGACCCCGAGATGAGATGAGGGGTCCCCAGCAACAGCAGGGTTCTCATTTAGCCATCGTCCTCTTCCACTGTGCCACGCGTGTCACTTCCAGCAAGTGCCACGTCCCGGGGCCTGTGTCCCCGCTTTTGCAGCCCCCCAGGGAGGGTCCTCGCAGGCCCTTGCCCGGCCCCTGGGCGCCCCATCGGGTCCTCGCTCCCTGCGCCTGTCTCTCCGCCTCCCGCCTGCAGTTGCTAAGGAGACGGTTTCCATGGCAACCTCAGCAGGGCTGCTCCTGCGGCCCCCACGCTGGCCTTTGTTCCCGCAGACTCCGGCGAGGGGCTGGGCTGGGGGTGCTTGTCTGTGGGAGTCGACGGGGGGCCTGCACACGGGGGGAGGGGGGTCCCTGGGAAGATGGGGCCTCTCGCCTGCCTCGCTGTCCCTCTCCCTTAGGTGCCGACCTCGAGGGCAGGCGGCAGATGAAGGTCAGCAACCGGCACCTGGACTTCCTGCCGCCGGGGCTGCTCCTGTCCGCTTACCTGGAGCAGCGCAGCTGATGGCGGCCCCGCGGCGCCCAGACCTCCCTACCATCCGCTAAAATATCTTTATTATTTTTAAAATTTGCCTTTGGAAATGTAATCTTCCCCCCTTGGGGTGGGTCTGTCTCACCCCGGCCCGCCTCCCTGCCCAGCCCTTCCAGATAAACTCTGGCGGCTGGAGCTGCCTTGGACTATATCGGCCCCGTAGCTCCTCGCTCTGGGACTTGTATTTCGGCGGGGAGACCCGGCCTGGTCACTTCCATGTTCCTTCTTCGTTCAGATTTTTCCGCCTGTTCTGAAGCTTAAGCGAGGAGGGAGAGGCTGGGTTTTTATCACTTTTAATGAATTTGATGTGATTTGTTGTAGATTTTTAAATTTCCCTTTTGGGAAGAAAAACCAAAAACTCGCCCCCACTGATAAATCCGGGGGCGTCGTTCCAGTCCCTACTTGACCCCCCACTCCCAGTTTTTGGCTTCGTGGAGGTGGGTGGGGGAGTCTCTGGGGCCTCGTCCCTCGCCCTGGGACTGTTACGTCTTGTGTGTGTGTGCGTGCGCGCGCCTGGCGACCCAGGGCGGAAGCTGCGTTTGAAATGCTGGTTTTACCCTCTTTTGGGGATGTGTGTTGTCCTCCCCTGGTGTCTTTTGGTGGCTCTTGGGGCCCCGCCGGCTCTATACACCCCCCCCCCCCCCCCCCCCCCCCCCCCCCCCCCCCCCCCCCCCCCCCCCCCCCCCCCCCCCCCCCCCCCCCCCCCCCCCCCCCCCCCCCCCCCCCCCCCCCCCCCCCCCCCCCCCCCCCCCCCCCCCCCCCCCCCCCCCCCCCCCCCCCCCCCCCCCCACCCCGTTCTCCCCGCCCTTCCTACCGGGGGTCTGGGACTTCCGGCCAGAAGCCTCCGCCCCCGGACCACCCCGGTTCCCCTCCATGTCCCCTCGGCGCTCCCAGCCTGATGCTTTGGGGTGTTCTCGGGCTGGCCACTCCGGCCTGGGCCCCCAAGAGCAGGGCTGGGGGCGCCACTCCCGTGCGTGTGTCTCATTGTGCTTTGGGAAGAGTGCAGAGTCAATAAATTCCTGGTGCTCTTGTCTCCGCTGTGGGGTTTCCTTTGGGGCAGGGCTGGGGGAGCCTTAGGCTCCGGGGGCGCCTGGGTCCTGTCCTGGGGGGCTGCAGGCCTCGGCGACGGGGCTTGGCGCTGAGTGACGCCCCGACAGTGGGGCAGGTGCGGGGAGACTGCTGGGGGTATCGGCCCCGGGCCCGTCCCCCCCAGGTGCCCAGCCTGGAACCCCAGTTCTGCCGTTTCCCAGCCGCGTGGCCTCTGGTCACTTGTGTGAGCTTCCTGGGGACAAAGTACCCCACATTGTGGCTGAAAACCGCAGGAATCCGTCGCCTCCAGCTCTGGAGCCGGAAGTCCGAGATCCAGGGGGGCCGGGCCGCGCTCCCCCCCGGAGGCTCCGCTGAGGGTCCCTCCCGCCTCCCCCGGCCTCTGCGGCTCGGGCATCCCCGGGCGTGTGGCCGCGGCCCGCCAGCCTCCGCCTCGTCATCATGTGGCCTCTCGCCCTGCGTGTGTCCAGGACTGGCCGGTGTCCCGGGACGGCCCCAGCCTGGGTTTTCCGTGATCTCAGTGAGGCACGTGCCCTGCTCATGGCGCCACGTCGGGGACTCCCTGCCGTCCACGCGGCCCCTCTCTGCTGGGGGGGGCCGTGAGCTCCTGCACTCGGGGTCCCCCCTCCACACCGAGCCCTCGAGAAGGGTCGCCGTGCGCAGCCCTCGCGGGGGTGGGAGCTGCACTGAGGCCAGAGCTCTGCGTTATTATTGGGAATTCCACATGACATCTCTCTTCTCCCCGCGTGTTTATCCAGCTGTTAGATCTCTAGGGTCGGGGCCGGGCACCCAAGTGGTTGGGTTCGCGGGCTCCGCTTCTGCGGCCCAGGGTTTCGTTGGTTCGGATCCCAGGCGCGGACATGGCACCGCTCGTCAGGCCACGCTGAGGTGGCATCCCACATGCCACAACTGGAAGGACCCACAACTAGAATATACAGCTGTGTACGCAGGGGCCTTTGGGGAGAAAACGGAAAGCGGTGCTAGGTCCGCGCCCAGGATCCGAACCGGCGAACCCGGGCCACCAAAGCAGAGCGCGGGACCCAACCGCTCGGCCACCAGGCCGGCCCCTATGTTTAGACAGTTTCAAAGATAGATGCTAAAAGACGAAATCCCAGTGGTTAGGACGGAGGACGCAAGGAGATACAGGGAGCTGCGAGGCTCCCGCTCGTGAAGGGCACTGAATGCCGGGTTCCCAGAGGACGGGGCTGGGCCGCAGGGTGTCCGATGTGTGGACTCCGGGGGCACCCACTGGCCACGTCCACACCCATACGGATTCCAGCCCTGCGGTTGCCACTGCGGGGCTGTGGGCTCCTTCCACCCCTCCAGCCCAGCTCGGTCCCCAGGCAGCCCGGCCTCCGGGCCTTTGCCCAGGCGGTGCCTCCCGCCCCGTGCACCCCTCCCTGCAGCCCCAGGAGGCCTTCCTGGAGAAGACCTTCCAAACGGAGCCTCCGGCAGGAACAGAAGCAGCTTCTGGAGGAGGAATTGGGGACGGGGTTGGAATCCAGAAGGGCCCTCGAGTGCGCAAGTCACCACGTTTATCAGAGCCTCAGTTTCCCGACCTATGAACAACAGAAATGTAAAGCATGGAACAGCAAGAGACCCCAAGGAGCCAAAGCAACCCTGAGAGAAAAGAACAAAGCTGGAGGCGTCACACTGCCTGATTTCAAAATATACTGAAAGCTATAGTGACCAAAACAGCATGGTGCCAGCCCAAAACAGACGCACAGATCAGTGGAACAGGATCCAGAGCCCAGAAATAAACCTACACATCGATGGACAGCTAATTCCCAACAAAGGAGCCAAGAACATACAGTGGAGAAAGGAAAGTCTCCTCAATAAATGGTGTTGGGAAAACTGGACAGCCACATGCAAAAGAATGGCAGTAAACCATTATCTTACACCATGCAGAAAAATAGACTCAAAATGGATTAAAGACTTGAAGGTGAGACCTGAAACCATAAAACTCCTAGAAGAAAATATAGCCAGTACACTCTTTGACATCAGTCTTAGAAGGATCGTTTCCAATACCATGTCTACTTGGACAAGGGAAACAAAAGAAAAAATAAACAAGTGGGACTCCATCAGACTAAAGAGCATCTGGAAGGCAAAGGAAACCAGGAAAAAACCAAAAAGACGACCCACTAACTGGGAGAAAATATTTGCAAATCATATATCCGACAAGGGGTTAATCTCCACAACATATATAGAACTCACACAACTCAATAACAAAAAAACAAACAACCCGATCAAAAAATGGGCAGAGGATATGAACAGACATTTTTCCAAAGAAGAGACACAGATGGCCAATAAACACATGAAAAGATGTTTAACATCACTAATCATCAAGGAAATGCAAGTCAAAACCACAGTGAGATATCATTTTACACCCGTTAGAATGGCTATAATCACCATGACAAAAAATAAATATTGGAGAGGATGTTGAGAAAAGGGAACCCTCCTCCACTGCTGGTGGGAATGCAAACGGGTGCAGCCGCTATGGAAAACAGTATAGAGATTTCTCAGAAAATTAAAAATAGAAATAACGTATGACCCAGCCATCCCACTACTGGGTCTTTATTCAAACAATTTGAAATCCACAATTCAAAGAGACTTATGCACCCCGTGTTCACTGCAGCATTATTCCCAACAGCCAAGACAGGCAAACAACCCAGGTGCCCATGGACCTATGATTAGATAAAGAAGATGTGTTATATATACACAATGGAACAGTACTCAGCCATCAAAAAGACAAAATCATGCCATTTGCGACAACATGGATGGACCTTGAGGATATTATGCTGAGCGAAATAAGTCAGAGGGAGAAAGTCAAATACCATATAGTCTCACTCACATGTGGAAGATAAAAACGACAAGGACAACAAACGAGCAAGCAGACACAGAGGTTAGATGGGCGGTTACCAGAGGGGAAGGAGGAGGGCAAGGGCCAGAGAGTGGACAGGGCACAGGTGATGGTGATGGAGGGAAAATCAGATTTTGGGTGGTGAACACGATGTCGTCTGCACAGAAATCGAAATATAAGGATGGACACCTGAAATTTATAGTGTTGTAGACCAGTGTTACACACACACACACACACACACACACACACACACAGAGAAATGTAAAGCAAACAGGAATGGAAGCAGCTTTTGGAGGAGTTGAGGATGGGGAAGTGTCCTCGATTGGATATGTCGCTCAGCTGATCGAGCCTCAGTTTCCCCACCCGCGGAGGTCAGAAAAGGAAGGTGCAAAATATGGAACGCTTCACGAATTTGCGTGTCATCCTTGCGCAGGGGCCATGCTAATCTTCTCTGTATCGTTCCAATTTTAGTATATGTGCTGCCGAAGCGAGCACAAACGTTGCCGCGACCGGAAGGCTATTTATAGGGCATAGAACCAATTTCTTTACGGTAAGGGTGAATTCCGTTAAAAAAGGTTTAGCCATTCGCCCATTTCTTATGTATCAGTACAACTCATAGCATAACCAACTGGAGTCACGCGCCGGAGTTGAGAAGGTGTTCGTTGTTCTACCAAATATAACTCAGGTGGCTGCTGGGAATTGTTAATAGACATATGCAAATAACACGGAAGCGGGGAGGAGCCGGAGCCGCCGCCGCCGTCCCAGAAGCCTCCGGGAAGCGGCCGCACTGCGCGGGCGTCTCGTTGGTCGCGGGAAAGATGGCGGCGCCGGAGCCGGGGCGTTAGGGCGAGTGCGGGCCGTCTGCTCGGCTGGACGCTCGGCCGGCCCGGTGAGCGCGGGGCTGCGGGGCTTGGGGAGAATGCTGGCGGCCGGACGGCGCCCGCGGCGCCGGGGAGCGCGGCCCGGAGAAGGCGGGGCCTCGCGGGCCCGGGGCGGGGCCTGTGGGGTCAGAGGGCGGGTCTGGAAAGCAAAGGGTGCTGGGTACGCGGGCTGGCGCGCACTGGGCGGGGTCGGGGTGTAGGGGCCGAGACAAGGGGTGAAGCCTGAGGTGAACTGGGGGTGGCGGCGAGTTCGGGAAGCGGGGGTCATGGGGGCGGGGCCTAGAGGCTATAGCTCCTGGGGGCGGGGCCTGGAGCGCATCCGGGGCGGGGCTTGGAAGGTGTAGACGCCCCCCCGAGGGGCGGGGCCAAGAGGTTGCAACTCCTGGTGGGCGGGGCCTAGAGCACGATGGGGCGGGGCCAAAGTGGTTGTGGTTCCCGGTGGGCGGGGCCTAGAGATTATGTCCTAGGGCGGGGCTTAAGAATGATAGGGGTTTGGAGGCGGGACCTGGAGATCGTGTGGGGTCCTTGGGGT